GATCAGTTAAATCACAAGTTCGGTTGGGCAATGGAGATCTAGTAGAAGTTGAAGGAAAAGGCTCGATTGAGGTCGAGACTCAAAAAGGTACTCGTCTTGTTGAAGATGTGCTGCTAGTACCAAAACTTGATACTAATTTACTCAGCATAGGACAAATGGTGGAAACTGGAAAGAGGATACACACTACTCTTCAAAGATAATTCTTGCACCATTTATGACAACAAAAATAATCTCATAGTTGTAGTAAAAATGCAATAGCGGAGGAACTTTCCGCTCTGTTGGAAATTCATAAAAGTAGCACTAAAAGCTCAAGAAGATCAATCTTAGCTATAGCACCGAAGGTTCTCGCAATTCAACTTCAATGGGCTAAAGTTACTCCATCAGAAAAATATGATGAAAAATCTACCAGCCATCCAAATGAACGACAATCTCTGCAAAAAGTGCATGGATGGCAAATAACATAGGAAACAATATCATTCAAGCCAAGCAAGAAGAGCCAAATAAATACTAGAGCTGGTGCATACAGACGTGTGCGGACCAATGAGGACGCCAACCTTCGAGATGAACAGGTACTTCATCCTCTTCATTGATGATTATACAAAAATGACTTGGGTGTACTTCATGAAAGAAAGGTCCGAAGTCTTCTTTATCTTTAAGAAATTCAAAAGTTTTGTCAAAAATCAGAGTGGAAGAAGAATTAAAGTACTTTGGAGTGATCGAGGAACATAATACACATCCAAGGAGTTCAACAAATTCTGCGAGGATGAAGGAGTCAACCATCAGCTAACTGTCGGCTATGCTCCAGAGCAAAACGACGTGTCAGAAAGGAAAAACAGAACCGTGCAAGAGATGGCCAGGACAATGCTTGTAGAGAAGAACATGCCAAAAGAATTTTGGGTAGAAGTTGTATGCACTGCAGTCTATATACTCAACAGGTGCCCTACTAAAGCAGTCCAAAATAAAACTCCAATAGAAGCTTGGAGTGGACGAAAACCGTCAGCCAATCTTGTACGAGTCTTTGGGAGTATCTACTACGTACACATCCCAAAGGAAAAGAGGCACAAACTGGAGGAGAAGTCCGAGAAAATAATATTCCTCGGCTATAGTTCTCAATCTAAAGGATACATAATTTACATCCTCAAGACTGGAAAACTAATTATCAGTCGAGATGTCGAGTTCGATGAAAATGCTGCATGGAACTGGGAGAAAGAAAAAGTCGAATACCAAAATATCATGGTACCTGCATTGCGAAGGCAAAATATCATACCAGAAGAACATGAAAAGCACCTCAGGCTACACATTTTCACTTGGCTCAGGTATATTCTCGTGGTCATCTAAAAAGCAAGACTGTGTGGCGCAATCTCCTGCAGAAGCTGAGTACGTTGCAGCAGCACTAATAACCAATCAAGTTATTTGGCTTAGGCGTATTCATGGATACATAGGAGAACACCAAGAAAGTCCAACGAAGATATACTGCGACAACAAGTCAACGATAGCAATGGAGAAAAATTCGGTACATCACAGCAGGACCAAACACATTGCGATCAAATATAATTTTAATGACAAGCAGATAGAGCTCAAGTATGTCGCCACTGAAGATCAACTTGCGGATATTTTCACCAAAGTCTTTACCGCGACCAAGATTCGAGACTCTAGGCGAAAACTTAGAATTATCCAAATGAGCATTAACGGGGAGTGTTAAATTAATGCACATTCTAGAAATGTTGTTAGGAATTAGTTGGTTGATAAGAAGAGATTAGCTAGTTGTTGCAATAATTAAGGCTCTAGATTATTCTTCTAACTACTATATATATGTATCTAATCCGTGAATGTATTGCACAAGAAGAAAAAAAATGTAAGGAGAATTGAAAAGAAATCTGCTCCCATTCATATCTATACTACTATCTTCTCTCATATAATTAAACCTTAGTATTTATTTAATAAATATTTTTCTTTTGGATACCAACACAGAATAAAGTGCAATGAGACCTTTTTATAAGACATCTTTGGTACATATCCAATGTGGCATAAAAAATATTCTGAAAGATATCGAATTTTTAATAATTCTTGGTTACTCTTTTAAGACAAGCATAATAGTGATTCAAATTCATCAAAAACTTACATAATTTCACTTCTCATTTTATTAATTTATGTAATGTGCATTATGTCTGCAAACAAAATGATAACAAAAGTGTATGATATCTAATGTGGCATATGATGATGGAAGGATATTAAAAGTTAATGCAGGGCACAATCCTGTTTCCAAAATCATTCCTCAAATTTACATCTTGTAGGTTAATGTACATGTAAATTCCCTGCCAGATTTAATCCATTACAAACATGCATTTTACCTTGTTCAGTAATCAAAAGGATTATAACAATCTAGATAGCACAGAGATAAACATGGTCCAAAAGTTATTCAAAGATGCATTGGCTTTTCGGCTTCTGCGAATGCAAGGGTATTCGGTAACTCCAGGTACATTATGTTAGCTTCCACTATAGTGCTATATACGTTGTTAACAAAAAATATTGAAATTGCTCGAATCATATACGCAGGAAGCTTCTGCTGGTTTTTGCATGAACCCGAAATCATGGCACGCATTGAACATAACTCGGAAAGGTTCACTTGCGCAATGTACAATGTATACAGAGCCACTGATTTACAGTTTCCAAGAGAGGCTGAAATGGAAGAAGCAAGAATAATTGCTCGAAAATTACTTGAAAACATAAGTACCACAAATCCCAGTTTATATTGTTCGAAGGGGCTTCAGAATATGGTAAATTGCATTTGGGCCTAATCCTGGTTGCTTTATTTCAATTTACCATGCAAATTTCTTGTGGCAGACTAAATATTACTTCATGTAGATTAAGTACGAGTTGAACGTTCCTTGGACTGCTCGTCTCAACCATATTTATCATAGGAAGTGGATCGAAGAAAACAGAACTAGCCCTCTGTGCTTTGGGACGCCTCCTTTCTACCGGTATATATATAATTTCACATATTTAATTTTCTTTCTTGATTATAAGTAAATTAATATTGTCTTTACATGGTTTTTGAACATACAGATTATCCGGCTCCAAGAACAATAAGCTACTGCAGCTAGCAGTGGAAAACTATGAACTTCGACAAATGATATATAGACGAGAGCTGGAAGAACTTAAAGGGTATATATAGTTGTTTTTTTTTTTCTAAATCATATATATTATGTTTATTTACATTAACCTTACCGTGATCTTTCCAGTTAATAAGCTCTGGTTTTATAATAATGTTGTCATGAGAAAATGTACGCAGCTGGTCCAAAAAATGGCGACTTAGCGAGATGGGTTTTGGGAGGGAAAAGTCGGTTTATACGTATTTTGTAATGGCCACTAGCAGTTGCTTTCCTTTCAATTCAATCATGCGATTAGTCGCAGCAAAGGCCGCCATAATCGTCACTGTTGCCGATGACTTTTACGATATGGAAGGTTCTTTGACTGAGTTGGAAACTTTGACCGACGCAATTAGAAGGTTGGGCAAAAAATTGTACTTATTTAGCATTTTTTTCTACTTAGAGTGAGAGATTATGTTTCTCTCACAACAAGCAAATACATTTGCAGATGGGATAGCAGAGGATTAGAGGGCCATGGCAAGACCATATTTGAAGCCCTTGATGACTTTGTGAATGAAATCGCTTCATGTTCTTGCGGCCCTCAAGAAAGGACCGAATTTGTGACGAAATTACGACACCTTGTAAGTTCCTACAACATCATTTCTTAACAATTTTATTGCAGTACTATATTTTTCTATTTTTACGAATAACTCTTAATTAGTTATACTATTGGAAATACTCATCGTTGGTCGATTGACTCTTATTTTCGGATAGTGGATTGAAACCTTTGACTCGTGGATGGTGGAGAGAAGATGGAGCCTGACCGGTTACAAACCGTCCATGGACGAATATCTTTTAACCGGCATGATTTCAATAGCAGCTCACACGATTGCTCTTCCAACCACCGATTTCCTGACCCGAAACTCCACAAACGGACCGAACCAGGAATATCACGGCATCACGAAACTGCTCATGTCCCTTTCCCGCTTAGCCAACGACACACAGAGCTATGAAGTACTTACAACAAATAAATAGCACACTATGTCTCAAAAATCTCTCTTTTTTTTTTTTCCTCTGTTTGACTCTCAGGCCATATTAACAAACAAGATAATTTTTATATTTTTTTTTTCAGAAAGAAAAACTAGATGGAAAACTGAATTACGTCTTGCTCCATTCGGATAAAAACCCGAGCATGGTTGTAGCTGATTCAGTCGCCTACGTCCGAGGTATTATTCAGGATATAAGGAAGGAATTCGTCGAGCACGTGTACATGGATAGGGACGTGAACGAGTCGTTTAGGAACATACATTTGTGGAGCATGAAAATATTTCATTTGTTTTTTGAATCCGCTAATTTATTCGACAGCGAGACTGCGCTTGTGGATGAGATACAAAGAGCCCTTTTTGTTCCAATTGTTCAGAAACCGAGGCCCGAGCCTCTGTTAAGCCCCCCTGTACCGTTGACTCCTTTAAAGAACGTGAAGAATGTACGAGAGATTCTAGCTAGACTTCGTCCTGTCACGAGAGGTTTGGGCAACATAGGCTTCATCAGACCATCATTCGTGAAGAATTCATCAACTTCTTACGTTGGCAGAGAGAGAACGAATGCCATTGTTCCAATACAGTTTAGTTTATGTTTCATGTGATAGCTGAAAAAAAAAAGGATGAAACACAACTACACAACAAAAGAAAATCCGAGCTGCACACAAAGTCAGAAGTATATTTATTATGGTTTTCTTATTGGCATTTGTCATTATTCCATAACTGTATGTAGACTGTAGTGAAATTAAGCTCAGTTTGGCATAGCACGAGATGCTTTATTTGTCAGTTTAGCATAGCACGAGATGCTTTATTTGTCAGTTTAGCATTTGCACGAGATGCTTTATTTGTCGACAATATATGTTTTCGTGTTTCATCTCTTATAAGGCAGAGTTTCCCCTGCAAGAAACGAAGCGAATAACGCAAGGGACTCGCTCGGCTTGAATTGGGGCACAACATGTCCAGCTCCTTTAACTGTCACAAATGTAAGCCCATGGTACTCTTGAACCCATCCAGCAACCTATAGTTTACATCAAAACACACCTTGCGTGGTAAGGAAAATATATTTTTTCGACAATTTAATCCCGACACAAAAAGAATCCAACCATCATTTAAATATATTTTTTGTAATTTACTGATCACCTGTTTTTTATGGTACCAAGGTCGCCATGCCTCAAAGATTGGAAGTTTTAACAAGCTCAAACTATACCTGGTCGACAAAACGGGTACCCTACCATCTGTGTCACCACTGTGCAGGAGAAAAAAATCGTGTCACAAAACTTAGGCATATTCTTGTATATAAATAAAACCATAATGCAAATTCGAAAAACAATCTACCTGTAAACCCATATTTTGAGTTTTGCCTCTATGAGCTTCTTATATATGGGAAGCACAGATGGTTTTGAATCTGACCAGCCATGAAATAACGTCATGCTACATTGTAAATGACCAAATCAAATCAAGATCCGTTAGTCAATTCGCATTAAAAAATAAAAAAAAAATATAAAAAAGGCAGATAGTATAGAGAAATTTTTCGGTTAATAAGTTAATTACTTGCAGAGGCTCCAATTCCTGAGTAGGACTCCATCACTAACATGAAGGGCTTTCTGAACGTCCGGGCGATTGTAATATGATGTCACATAGTTATCCAAGCACGGGTCGTAACCACCCATGACTCTTGGCATCTATTGTCACATATAGAAATGTGATTAATTACAGTAGAAATAGGTAATATTGGAAGTGAATAGTGAAAAGCCGTAAAATTTTCTTGATGTTCGCATAAAATCAAGTTTTTGGTATGCACTTGCGAACAACTTGGTAGTACACGCAAGTGAATTATGACCATCATTAATGAATAGAACAACATATACCATCTTTGAAGAGCCTTTGCTTGTGACTAGACTCGACTTTTGATCCGAACCAGACGAGTTGCTGATGCAGGTGGGTGTGTAGAGGCTGTACATATCAATCTCGTTATACTGTTTAAACATTTCATCCACGGCCCCCGAACAATCAAGATTGTCCCACGTGTGATTACTGAAAAAATCGCACGACTGCTCGATAATACTGTAGGTCTGGTCCGACACGACCGCATGGCTCCACGCGTAATCCACCATGCCTTTCCAGTCCTCGGCATCGTGCGTTTCAGGATTTCCCAGCTGTCAAAATAAATTATTAATACGCCGAGATATGTATAAAAATGGTTACTATATATAATTCAATAAACATATATACCAGAATGCCTCTTAGGTTGATGAACAAGGAGGATTTTGTGTTCTTGTCAATAATAACCTCTGCTAGCTCAGGCACATATTTCCCTATTTGATTTATTCAGTAAAATTAAAAATATATATATGTTCATTGAAATATTTATATGCTGCCCAAAAAAGTGATTGGCATGAGATATTGATATTCTTACAGCATTATATAATTTTAAGGTAGATGTTACGGTCCCGTTATAGAATTATTCCGTCGAGGTTTGTAACCGTTAGATCAACTATCCCAAACGGTTACATGATGATCTAACGATTACAAATCTCTACGGAATTGTTCTGTAACGGGACCGTAGCATTTCCGATAATTTTAATTTTATAATATTATATATATATAAAACCTGCATAACTTTCGCCAGCAATGTAAAATGGTGTTGCACGATAGGAAGGGAACTTGAGGAACCACTTTTGGAGGAAAGCATAGGCATCCTGTGCTGCTCATTGAGGATACAAATACAGTCCAATTTAAAAAAAATATATATATATATATATATTTTTAAACAGTATAATATTTTTGGATTAAGGCATTCATATTATATAGTATTATGCTGACCTGTAAAATTATCACCCAGATTAACATAATCGCCGCTGGTGTTGGTGTACGAAAAGCCAACACCAATTGGAGATTCCAAGAACAGCAAATTAGCCTCTGTTGCAAAATTAATGATAAAATTATATACAATTAATCAGAAATATAAAATAAATAAAAATTAAATATTAGTTAAACATGTTCAATCGGTTCAACCACTGGTTCGACTAGTAACTATTGAACCAGTATTTTCGGTTCGATGACCGATTCAGTTTTCAGAACCTTGGCAGTAAGTACGTAGCAACAAAAATAATTGATTAAATATGGAATAAAAATAAAAAAAAAAATAAAGAAAAAATCCAAGCTGGTAATATAAGTACAATGTGTGTATATACGATATAGTTATCATTATGAAAATCCCGAAAAAAAAAAGAAAAAAAAAAGTACCTTTATTCCAAGAGAAAGGATTTAATTTCAAGTCACCCCCATTTTTATTGTCCACTAATAAAAACGGTCCAATCTCTTCTGATGCTCCATATCCCACAGAAGAACAACCAGGACCTTAACCAAGATCAAATTTTTAGCTAACAACATTAGCATGCAGCCGATCATAATATTCCCACGTAAAAAAATCCGTCCTAATTACCTCCATTTAGCCACAGCACTAAAGGCTTCTCACCGGGAAAATTTACGGCCTCGTAAAACCAGTAAAAGAGTGCTCGTCCGTTTTTCTCATTTACCGTGACGTGACCGGCATAATGCCGAAAACTTACGTCGGGTTGACCGGGAAGGCCAGTCACGAGATCCTTGACGGCATCCAGGTTAGATTCTTTTGTCGACCCGTGAATTTTTTGGCCGTCGACGGTTAAAAACAAATGCAAATAGAGAAAAAATATTAGTTTTAGCACAATATCCATTGTATTAAGAGGATTTGGATGTCTATACTATAGTATATGTTTTAGTGCTGCTCAATTGGAAGGACGAGGTTAATTGCTTATTTATACTTAGGTGTGAGGAAGATAAAGGGACAATGTCTTAGATAACTTGATTGTCTTGTAGTGATGATGTGTTGATAAGTGCTACATATATAGTCTTTTATAATTTGGTCAAATGTAAATATGATTATTAGGTATAATCAGATTCATTATTGAACTCGATTAAATATGGAGAAAATTAAGGCTTTAAATGTTTAGTTCCTTTATTGGTTTTGGGGGATTTGACTATTATCTTTCAAACATTTGTAGAAACTACAGTCTATTACTGACATTTAAAGGAATCACAAGAAACGTATGTGCGAGAGGATAAAGAGTACCAAATGATGTTGTGATGGAGGAGGCTGAGTGGGGGACGAGGAACAAAAGTGTGAGAGACGAAGTTGGCAAGAGAAGAGGGCCTCTTGAGACGATGGCCACGACCCACCACTTCCTCTGGGGGAGGATTGACAATGACCTCTGATCCTACCTCCAGTGTCAATGGTACGCGTTATAGTGAGAACCACCACATCATCATCATCATCGTCGGAAACAACAGGCCATGGAATTGAACTACATGTACGGAGGCAGCATCAAGAGCAGGAGACGTCAAATAAGGGAACCCTGATTCACAGAATTCCACATCACGTGAGACCAGAAAAGTGCGGTTGTCCAAGTCATAAACACCACTACAAAAAAATTGGTATATTCAAACGGTAAATCCTACGGTAATATATTCCAATGGAAATTCCAACGAAGATTCAAATGGTATAATTCCTTTTGAATGATTCGAACGGTAATTCCATCGAAAATATTCTATTGAAATGAGTTTTTCATTGGAATTTTAGATGGAATTTGATGATTCCAACGGCTATTTTTCCAATGGATTTTTACCATAGGAATTTCTGTTGGAGTTTGCAATTTTCGTTGGAATTCTTATTTCCACCTCCGTTAGAAAATCTACTGTTGGAATTGTCAAAATCCAACGGAAACTCCAATGAAAAGCACATTACAACGGATTATTTTTGTTGGAATTTCCGTTGGAATCAGTTATAATATATTTTCATTAAAATTTTCCGTTGAAATTTCATTATTTTTTGTAGTACTGCACACCACTTCTTTTGACCAGATGGATAGCCAACAAAAACACATCGACGACTCCGACTTGCACTGTCACCGTCCGTGTTCTGATTGTGCAAGTAACACAAACAGCCAAAAACACATAAATGTGCATAGTTGGGAAGATCTCCATACAAAAGTTCATAGAAAATCTTGCCAGACAAAAGAGGAGTAGACGTTCGATTAATTAAATAGCCAGCAGCAAGTACACAATGTCCCCAGAACTCAATCGAAAAATGGGCTTGAAAGCGTAGTGTTCGAGCAACATTAAGAACGTGTTGATGTTTGCGCTCAGTTCGTCCATTTTGTTGAGGAGTTCCGAAACAAGAAATTTCATGAACAATCCTTTGTTGACGGAAATAATCACTCATACGAATAAATTCAGTCTCATTGTCATTGCAAAGGGTTTAACCAATACACAAAATTGCTTTTTGACAAAAGCAAAAAATTGCAATAATGTAGAAGACGCCGAAGATTTTTCATCTAGTGAGAAAATCCAAGTAGCGTGAGAATAGATGTCAACAATAGTACAAACAATATCGAGCACCACTAAAGGTAGGAACTCTATAAAGTCTCCACACATTAAAATGAATCAGACTGAAAATGGAACTGCTAACACTACCACTAAGAGGAAAGCAAGCTCGAGATTTCTTCGCCCGACAACAAGCATCACAAGTATTATTCAAGACCAAGGAGCGAGACCCAACAAAAGGCAACTGACCAAGAACAGTAGAAGAGGAATGACCCATCCGCTGGTTTCACAAGTGCTGCATAACCGAAGACACCTCAAAAGCATTGGCAGTGATCGACACTCGAGAAAAACAACTGCTCACTCGCTCCAATCACTGTCCTCGAAGTGAGGTCCTGAATAGCACAATATTTATTAATTAATGTAGCTACACAATCAGATTGTTTCGACAACCGAGATAAAGATATCAAGCTGCACTAAAGACTGTGATGTAGGGAAGTGTACGAGTGAGAAAGATAAACGAGATACTCTCTCGTAAAACTCACAAAACTCAACAATATCTTATTTCATTCAAAATCAACTCCCCTAATAACAAAGCACAACAATCCTTTAAATAAGACTCTTAAACTAAACCCTAACTTATTCTCCAAGCTAACTAATAATAATAATAATAATAATAATAATAATAATAATAATAATAATAATAATAATAATAATAATAATAATAATAATAATTCTGCATCATTCTCCCCTGGTTGAGCAGGATTCACCCTCGAATCCGACACGTTCCCGTTGGAGACGTCCCCATGACAGAAATAGCCCGGGCGTTTCCCCCGATTGAACACGAATGTTGAATGCCTCACTTCCATGGTATCACCCCCTTGAAATTCATGGAAAGATATATATGCAACATCCACACACATAATATTGAAGTCACCGTGGGGACAATAAAACAACATCTGTTTGCAAGGTCGCAACAAATTTCCGTGGGAGAAAAGCTTGGGCCTGCATAATAGAAGAACTACCAATTCTTCCAACAACTGAATCTTAATACCCGAAACATGATAGAATTCCTCTAGCCCCAGAGGCTCCTCATCGAAAATCTGCAGACCGTTGTAGAGACGGCCCACTTCATCGGTAAAACGCTCTTCCACCTCCTCGGGTCCTTCATCAAACACAGGCGGACCATCGTACAATGGCCCGTCAACTTGCTCTTCGTCGAATTCGGAGATTTCTACACGAAAAGGGCCCTCCCATCGACCATAATTACGATCAAATTCCCAATCGCGTCGGGCACGATATCCGCCGACGATGGCAGCTTCCTCGCGCTTGCCTCTGTCGACGTGTTGATCATCGCCGTCCACGAAGACCGGGCCCCGTCGCTGCATGTCACGGCTGCCATATGCAGCGAAGGGGTCAGCCTCGACGTGCGGGGGTGAAAAATCATTGAAGGAATTCACCTCCGAGACTATCTCTTCGCCGTCTTCGTCGCCGGACGGTGGTTGTGGAGATCTCCAGCGGGGCGCTCCGTCTAGACCACGGCCTCCACGTCCACCGTGAATTCCCCCGTACACGCCCCAGTTTTCGGTGTCACGGTACGTTTTCTTGTCCCAAAACATGGTACGGATAGTTAGACGTATGTCCCCAATCTTCGCGGACAGATCTGCAATTTGACGACCCATCGTATCGAGCTGGCAGCCAAACCACTCGGTCCGGCTCAAGTTGTAGATGGCAGCGGCACGCCTGTCGTTTGCATCATCTTGTCTTCGCGATAACATCGTGAATCATGCTGACTTCTGATACCAACTGATGTAGGGAAGCGTACGAGTGGGAAAGATAAACGAGATACTCTCACGTAAAACTCACAAAACTCAACAATATCTTATTTCATTCAAAATCAACTGATTAAAATAAACTAGAGTGGGTTCATTATATAAGGCCCCTAATCCTAAACCTAACTTAATCACTAAGAAAGCTAAATCTAACTTATTCTCTAAGACACTTATTAGACATCCCCGAATTCGACGAAGAGCTAGTTGACGGGCCATTGTACGATGGTCCGCCTGTGTTTGATGAAGGACTCGAGGAGGTCGAGGAGCGTCTTACCGACGAAGTGGACGGTGTCTACGACGGTCCGCCAATTTTCGATGAAGAGCCTACGGGGCTAGAGGAGTTACATCATGTTTCGGGTATCGAAATTCAGCTATTAGATGATTTGGTAGTTCTTCTGTTGTGCAGGCCCGAGCTTTTCTTCCACGAAAATTTGTTGGGGCCTTGCAAACAAATGATATTTTTTATCCCCACGGTGACTTCAACATTACTGTATATATGTCTGATGGGTCTCTTCCCAGATCTGGAGCGAACTGATGAAAATGGGCTCAGATCTGGAGCGAACCGGTGAGGATGAGCTCAGATCCGACTTGATGACTTCTAAACTGCTACCGGACCGTGAGAACACCTGCAAGAACTCAACGCCGGAGGGGTTTCCGGCGTAGAGCCTCCGACGCTCAAGTCAATAAGAGAATGAAAGGAGTTGCTCTCAGGGAGCAGCAGCAATAGAAGAGAGTATGGAATGAATGGGAGTTAGGGTTTTAGGGCTACCTCTTCTTCCTTTTATAGGAGGGAAATTACCTGATGTGCCCGAAATGCCCTAGGTCGGTGGTCCTGAGAGGTCCAAATTGCCCTGGCCGATTCGTCTTCTCCTCTTGTTGAGTCACCTTCTAGATTCTTCTTTTCCCTTTGAAGTACCAGCAGGTTCGTGAAGAAAAAGTCATGTGGGGTCGTCGTCATATGTATTAGGTCGACATGTGAGGAGTCGACCTCTAACAGGGATAATTCTCTCTAGATTCTGATCGTAGTTAGAGCATACTGATTTTATTGCGGTCGACTTCGCCAGGTCGACTTAAGTACAGTCGACCTCGAAGTATCTGTGCGGGGTGTTATTAGTTCTTGGTTTGCTGTAGGTCGATTCCGCGAAGATTATTCTAAACACCTTGATGAGCCGACGTCGAGATATTTGCCGGTTCCTAGTTTTTGGGTTAAGGCCCTCGAGCCGACTTGTCTCCATTATGGCTATATCATCTAGTCCCCCCCGCGAAGTACTCTAAGCAGCCGAATGCTTAAGTGTAATTATAAATGATTCGATTTCCATGTGTCCTCGACTTGGATCATACGGTTTATTTCCTTGCATCTTACCTAGTAAGTCGATGGCTTCTCCTTTCTTTTTATCTGTAACTATCCTTAGGGATAAGTTTGACACTGACACCCCCTTTTGAATTTTGAATTTCGAAAATTCTTGAAGTGACGCGCGTCACATCAACCGCCGACTCTTCGTATTCCGCGCTTCATCCTAACCGTTGATTTCTTTGCTGATCTGACGGTCGTTGTTTATCTTTGTTTTATATAAATATAGTCGAGTCTTTCCCCAAAACATTTTTCACTTCTTGCATTCTCTAACTTCAAGCTTTCTCTGCAACTCCGGTGATCTCGTTCCCTCCGGCGAATTTCTATCACAACTCCATCGTTCAAGCTAATTCTCCAAGCCAATCATGAGTAAAATGGGTAAGTTCTTTTCCCAATTTCTGTTAATTCACATCTCCTTTTCCCCTTTTTCTTCTTTTTTTTTTTTGGGTGTTTGGTTTTGCTTGCTTTCTTAATATCTTGGTGTTCTTGATATGTTCTTGTTCCTCAAGTTTTCTTTTTACGGATTTTGTGCTGAACTTCCTAGGCGCACTTTTTTTGTTTTGATCTGATGTTTGTCTGGTTAATGATCGCTCTTAGTATTTGGTCGCTTACCGATTTCCTTATCAGGTCGACCTATACTGGTTTGTCCTTTCTCCTTTCCTGAGTTGTCTTATGTCGACTTATCGATATATCCACTAGATCATAACATATAATATCCTCGTTCTTTTTCCTTAGTCGACCGTCTACCAGTCTACCTTTATTTTGTTTGGCTTTATTTCCTGGACTGATCTTTGGGCTTCGATTTTTTTCTAGCTTCCCACTTCGACTCTTCCCCTGATTCACTCGACGACTTGATCGATAGAGGCCTCAGTCAATCCGATTCAGTCGAGATAGTTGGTTGTAGGACAACCAATGTTTCTCCTCGTTCTTCTTCTTCTCATGCCTCTACCCCGAAAGTCGACTGGGAGGAATATGATCAAGCACTTCTAGAGGGTGGCTTGGTGGAGATCTCGAAGAGTCCTCGAGGGGATTCTCCTCGCCTTGACCCATTTCCTCGAGGTATTCCCCTTAGGTTATTACAAATACCTGTATATATAACTAGCCCTGTACCTGTACCAATAATTACTCCCCTCGTTAATCCTCGAGGGGTTGTGTCTATAGCTTGTCCTTTGGCCAAGTTGGCCGTTCTAAATTCTTTTCGTTATGCCTCTGCAGATCGAGGGCTTCAGGCGATTTAGTGGGCTTCCCTCCGATTGGGAGTTGGTTGCTCCAGGCCCTGAAAACGACTTCGCCCGCCCTCCACAGGGCTGCCATACTTTCTTTATCGATCAAATTGTCTTCGGCCTTCGCTTTCCTATCCAAGACGAGCTCTTGTCGATAAGTAACCTGTATAGTATTCCAATAAACCAGTTTTCTCCCAATTCCCTTTGTATTATGATAGCTTTTATAGTCGTTTCTCGCATAGTGGTTCGCTATTTTTCGCCCGAATTTTTCTTCTACTGTTATAGCTATCGACTCCAGAAGGGTGCTCATTGTCTGGTTCGTCGATCCGGCATCTCCTTTCTCGACGACCTTTCTTCGAACATTACAGAATGGAAATCGAAGTTCGTATTTATTCGCCCTCCTACCGGCGTCTATCCTTATGTAAATAACTGGATAACCATAAAAGTGAAACAAAGGAAACGACCTCGATCTGCGGACTTTGAGAAGCTCTTAGAAGAGCTTAATAAGCACTCTTATAGTGCCCGTCGAATAATAAGAGATCGTGCTTTGGTCAATCATGCTAGGATTGTTATTCATGAGGGTCTTCCTCGCCTCGATGATCCGGCGTAAGCTATTAGTAGCCCTTGCATGCTTTCTTCGTGTACTATTTTTTCTTTTTGCCGATGATTGGCTCCATTTTACTAACGTGTTTTTTTTTTTTTTTT